CGCCGTCAACCCAGTCGTCGCCGCCAAGAAGGATCCCGACACTGGCTTATGGACCGACTACCGCATGGCACAGGACTATCGCCCTGTCAACACGCATACACTACAGGACAAATATGGGCTGCATCGTCCCGAGGAGATTTTCCAGCGCGTAGGCAAAGCTACTATTTTCTCCAAGTTGGACCTGCGGCAGGGGTTTTTGCAGATCCCCATAGCGCCTGAGCATCAGGCTCGTACCTCGTACTGGGTCTCCAACAAGCTCATGGCCTACACACGAATGCCGTATGGACTCAAAAATGCCAGCGCCTACTTTCAGCGCGTCATGGATTATGAGCTGGGCAAGGCAGGCCTGGCCGATGTCAGTGTAGCATTCATTGACGACGTACTTATTTGGTCACAGACGCCTGAGGAGCACGTCAAGCATGTGGCCGCCGTACTCGACGTGTTGGCAGCCTGTGGGCTCCGTGCCCATCCTGACAAATCAATTTTCGGCGCTGACGTCATTGAGTACCTGGGTCACAACCTCAGTGCCTTTGGGATCAGCCCTCACCAGGCCAAGGTCGCCGCAATCATGGCTCTTCAGCCTCCCCGCAACGTGTCTGAGCTCCGTACGCAGCTGGGTTTCATCAACTACTACCGCTGCTACGTCCCGCAAATGAGTCAGCTTGCAGCGGATCTGAACAAGCTCCTCAAGAAAGGTGAACCGTGGGTCTGGGGTCCCAAGCAGCAAGAGGCGTTTGAAGCCATCAAGACTGCATTCACCAAGGAGGGACTCATCTTGCGTCGCATCGACTACTCCCGCCCGCTAATACTGCACACGGATTTCTCCAATAAGGGCATAGGAGCCGTCCTCGGGCAAGTCGATGACGACGGAAACGAATACATGTGTGCTTGTATCAGCCGCTCGCTTAACAAGCACGAAGCAAACTACAGCAGCTACAAGGGAGAGATGCTGGCCGCTGTGTGGGCTGTGAAGATGTTTCGGCACCACCTGATCGGCGGCCCTCCGTTTAGGCTGATTACAGACCATCAGCCACTGCTGTACCTGATGAGCTCGGAGGGGCTTACAGGACAATATGCACGCTTTGCACTAGCGTTGCAGGAATATAATTTTGTCATCGAGCATCGGCCGTGAATTAAGCATCAGAACG